AAAGCTGATTGGCTCTTCTGGCAAACTTTGGTAATAAACATTGGTTCCTTCAGGCAGATACAGTGTGACCTTTCTTGGAGATATATTGATATATATCAGTTTGGAAACGCACAAAAATGTCTTGCAAATAAACAGTGTGTCCATTAGAGAGCATTGACGGTTTCTCAAATGATTTAAAGCTTTTCTAGTTTTTCTTTGACTGAGGCCCAGCTTTGGCTTCATACACAAAAGTGGCTGATCTTGATGTCAAGTTCATTTCAAAACTCTACTATATGTCTCATACATATATTACATTACATTTCTTTTAGCTGACGCTCTTATCCAAAGGGACTTACAATAAGTGCAAAACCATAAAGATTCAAACTCCGAACATCAAGGAAAGTGCAGATATATTCACTTCAACCAAGATCATAGTTAGTACTGGTGAATCAGATACAAGGCCTAAATTAACTCAACAAGTGCGTCGTGTTTTTTTTAATTGCCAAGGTACAATCGAAATAGATGCATTTTCAGTTTGCGACAGAAGATATGCAGAGTTACTACTGTCCTGATGTCGATGTTCATATATAGATCACAACGTATCCTGATATGTGGAGCCAGTAGTTTGACGAAACGTTGATTGGAAGTAGAAACATGCGATGGCTGAAACATGAATCCTAGTCGTTATGTTGAGGAACACTGTAGAACTCATTAGCCTCTCTCCATTGTTTTTCTCTTTCAGGAAGTTGTTCACAGCTTGGTGTGACCCGGCGGAGAGCGACGGGTGAGAGTCTGAAGCCACAGGAGAGTCAATGTGACAGACATGAAGAACCTGGACCAGTATGGACACAATCACAAGGAGAGTCTGGGTGAGTCCGGACAGACGGCACCTCAATCTGCTTCCATAGTAGTGCTGCAGACCATTCGATACACCAGGGAAATCTTTTCAAAAGGAGATACAAGCACTAACATTGGCAAATAAACTCCTTTCCGGTTACTCTGGATGGTCACCAAAAATGGCTTGGAAATATACTTTTTTTTTGCCATAAAATCTGTTTCACTTTCAAGACCTTGGTGTCAAATCATACAATTATGAAGATGTGGAAACCAAATTCAGACTTCAGGAGTTACTCAAAGCTTCTTTCAACCATATCTGAGTCATATGTTCAAGATAATCCGTCAATGGAAAACTGGGTATCCTAACATGCATGTTAGTGGAGGTGGTGGAGGTATTTCGGGGCGTAGGAGTGTAGGTAGAACTGGTGAAATGATGGTGTGGGCTAACTTATTCCGCTAACATATAACTAGTATAAATATTAGTGTGGTTAAGTGTCCGAAGATCCCTAAAAATCCCCACATCTTGTTTTCAAAATGACACAAAAGACTCTGAAGGAGTTCCCATATATTAGAATTGACTTCCCCATAATCAAAGATATATCATTCAATACCAAAATCACGATATTGGTCCAGTGGTTTAAATGATGTGGTAAAATACTGACTCCTCGGCTAAAATGACAGCCAATGGTCGGTTGGATTTGGAAAATTCAACGTCCTTTTTTTAACTAAATGGCCACAGAAGAATGGATGTGGACATTTTGGCGCTTGTATCCACTTTTGAAAGATTATTCCAGTGATCTGCAGCACTAAAAAGACGCTAAAAGAAAACCTTTAATGACGATTTAGCTTTCCTTTCTGTCCTCAACGGCTGGTGTTGCAGTGTTTTGAGTTCTCTCTCTTGGGTAACGTTTGTATTAAAGTGTCTCCTGTGTTGCAGTGTTTGCCGCCCTGTCCGGTCTGGTGCTGGTTCCTCTGGTTCTGCTGGGCTCGGTCCACGGTTGCCCCGGTGATTGCTCCTGTTACGGTAACACCACCGACTGCTCCTCCGCCGGCCTCCTGTCTCTGACCTCCGTCCTGGTGCTGTTGGACCGGGACTCTCTGATCCTCCGCCTCCCCCAGAACAACCTCTCCTCCCTGGGCTCCACTGAGCTGATGAACCTCAGCCGCCTGGAGCTCCTGGACCTCTCCCAGAATCACTTTTCCGCCCTACAGCCCGGAGCGTTTTCAGACATTAACGGCCTGCGATTCCTCAATCTTTCTTCCAACTACCTCGGTAATCGCGTTTTTTCTGTCCCGAACAACACCACGGATGTCCTGGAGGGTTTGAATGGGAGTCAAGGGAGCGCCGGATTGAGCAAGGACGCGTTCAGAGGGCTTTGGAGGCTACGAGGACTCGATTTGTCCTCCAATGGCCTCCTGTGGCTGCCCAAAGGTCTCCTGGACGGGCTGCAGAGACTCGACTGGCTCTCCTTGGCCAGTAATCGTCTGGCGGCCCTGGATCGGGTCACTTTCGAACCCCTGGTGGGGCTTCAGGAGCTCCGACTGGCAGGAAACCCTTGGGAATGCGACTGCAAACTGAGGGAGTTCAAGCACTGGATAGAGTGGCTGATTTACAGGGGTGAGCACACTTCAGATTCTCTGGAGCGAATCCCTTTTATTTTAAGTCTGTACTTCAAACGCAGCCTGATCAAAGCAATGAATCTCTGCACTGTATTTCATTTTAGGATTGACTGGTGCTCAAAAGAGTGCTTCAGTCTTATGTCCTGAACAGCAAATATTCCACTGTCTAATAAAGTAAGACAATGTTGTTGGCCAGCCTCACTCTGTTGTTGCCAGTTCATAGACTCTCTCTCTCTCTCGAGAGAGAGAGAGAGAGAGTCTATGAACTGGCAACAACAGAGTGAGGCTGGCCAACAACATTGTCTTACTTTATTAGACAGTGGAATATTTGCTGTTCAGGACANTTGTTCTGTTTTCTGTTTTCATCTGCCTCACCCTCTCAGACTTTGAGTTGCGCGCGCTGCTAAAGAGACCCGCTACCATGGAAACCAAACAATGGTGTACCTGTATTAAAGTCCGAGTGGAAACAGTCGTGAGTAAATCTGATTTTGTCAGAAATCGGGAGAAATGCGGGAGTGTCCCGCGAAAATCGGGAGGGTTGGCAAGTATGACAGACACACACACACACACACACACACACACACACACACACACACACACACACACACACACACACAAGGTTTTGTCACCATTTCCATAGCCCCACCAAAAATATTTTCCACCAGCCGCCACTGAACCTAGAGAACACACTACAGGAAGGGGAAACCCTCAAAAGCAGAAAAGCCGCTCTCTAAACCAAATGATGGCTGATGTCTGTAAACACATTTTCATGACAGGATTTTGCTGAAATGATCAGGTTGTTTCTCTTAATCTCAGATAGAGCTGCAAAGTCAATCAACAGAAACATGATGGACTTCTATGTCAGAGTAATTGTAAAAAGTAAAGTGCAAAAAAGTCAGAAAATGCAGTTTTCAGCCTCTCAAATATAGAAATATCTTTATATCATATTAAATGTAATATCTTTGAGTTCTGAACTAATTTCACTCACATTTAAAGACATCACCTTGGGTTCAGGCAGGTGGCTGGTCATTTTCACAATTTTCTAAACATTTATAGATTAATAACCAAAATAACCGTAAGATGCAGCCCTTATCTCAGAATATGGAAATGTTGAGTCCTTTATTTTGTCTGGTGAGTAGGAGTTCTTTTTAAATGGTTTGATGAATGTTGTTTCCCGGCTGGTGTTTTGGTGGAAGCCATATTGTGGTGTTATTAAAATAAATAAGAAAGAAGTCCAGGATAATTAGATAAATATAGAGTTTATTTTCTTCCGCCTGATTTACAGTCCTTGAGTTGAGTTTGAGACATGTGCTTATCACAGAAAGAAAAAGGGACAAATACATGAAAACATGTGGATATTGCAGTCAAGGTGGATCACACTTTCACTCTGCGATGTCGGGAATAATTGTCCTCATAACTTGTGCTGGATTTAAGGTGTTGCAGTTCAATGCTCGCCCTGTAGGTGGCAGTACAGCTCAAATGTTGTTTGAATGCATTTTACCTCAGTGGTGTTGAAACAGCAGGCCTCTAACATGGTTAAAGTGTCTGATATCTAGAGGGAATTCAACTGGGCATCCTCCTAACAGAGGAATTACTATTTCCCAAAGTGGGGATGTAACATAAAACATAAAATATCAGAAGAAAACAAGAGAATTTGTGCAAAAAAAACGGAGAAAAGTCACATTTCACAGATTCACATTCACATTTTTTTGGCTCAAAACAAAAAGGAGGTTTTGTATGTGTCTAGAGGACTAAGGGAAGGCAAGGTGCAGAAGTGCATGAGCAGCTTCAGAGGAGTTTAAAAGCTGCAGCGTGGAGATGCAGCGCGGGGAATAACAATTCACAGAGCATCCATACATTAAAGGAAGTGCTGCGGCATTCTCTCAATACAGTCCACTCAGGCCTCTCTCTCTCAGAGCTGCAGGGTTCCCCCTCCAGACAGAGTGTCCTCCAACCCAGTATAGATTCAACCACTCCCAGTCCTGCATTCAGGCAGCTCTTCGTGACTGCGTCATGGATGTATAAAGAGAAGGTGCCCATGTTAACAACGCTAAAGTTATATAACATCTCTAGCTTGGGACAAAATGCTCTGACCGTGTAGGAGAGTCACGAAGTACATTTACTCAGATACATGGTTCTGTACAAAGCTTGACGAACCAACAACAAGCTATTATAAGCTACACATTGGTTTCTAGTTTATTATTCTTAAATCCGTGGTGAATTAATATTAAACAAATTGCCTGACTGTGATCTTCTTTCATATTAAAAACGCACTTAATACCATTTACTTTGAAAACGATGCTCTATGAACTCGGTCCAATTCATATTAAGTGGTTTGAATATTCCTAAATTGACGCTCTGATGCTGTGTCAATACACATTCATCATGTGGAAATGGGCGTGGTTTAATCTGAACTGGGTTGGAAAAACGATAGACGCCTCCTGGAAGAATCAGGAAACAGACAGAAGCAGCCGATCAGAAGCTGCTGATCCGATACCCGTGCACAATGGCCTCTTTGGGGGCGTGTCCTTTGGGGAAGACAACTGCCCGTCCTCCAGGTCCGAGCAATCGGTTGGTACACTGCCTCTATAATAGCCTTGGTTATTTATTGTTGTTAGAATGGTAAAGACAACAGTAAAAGTGCTTTGTTATGGTAACTAAAGGAGAAACGATGTGAAGGGAAGTCAAGGTGCAGAAGTGCTTCAGCAGCTCCAGAGGAGTTTAAAAGCTGCAGCGCGGAGACTAAAGGAGTATGCCGTAAGTTCGGCAAAAATGGCAAAGCTTTGCTGGGTTTTTACACAGTGTAATCTTTAGCTTCTACCTGCTTATTGAAGAGAAAGACCGGGAATACAAGAGGCTGAGATGGGTTTCCTCCGGAGGATGGCTGGCATCTCCCTTAGGGATAAGTCCAGTCATCCGATCTGCAGGGTTTCTGTCTCCAGAGGTCTTTGAGTGTCCTGGAAGAATCAGGAAATCAGACCAAAAGCAGCGGGTTGGAAGCCTCTGATTCGATAACGTGCACGATGACCTCTTTAGGCGGCGTGTCCCCCGGAGACGACATAATAGCTGGCTATCATACCAGTATAATAGCCAGTCTGATTTATTGGTGTTAGAATGGTCACGACAACAGTAAAAGGTGCACAATTGCTATGTTATGGCAACTGAACTTGGGAAAGCTGTATGTTTTACTGGGTTTTTACACAGTGAGATCTTTAGCTTCTGCCTACTTAGTGAAGTCGAAATCTTAGCCTGATGTTTCCAGTCAGTTTCCACCTCCAGAAGTCGTTGAGTGTCCTGGAAGAATACAAAAATCAGACGTGTCAGAAGCTGCTGATCCGATACCCGTGCACTATGGCCTCTTTGGGCGGCATGTCCTCCGGAGAACCCATCTGTCCGTCCTCCAGGTCCGTGTCGGTGCCGCACTCGGCCATCAGAGGCTGCCCTCGGCTCTTCATCTCCCTCTGGTATCGTGCCATCAGCGAGGCGTAAACACATCCGTAAGTCGCCGCCACCACCATCATGACGCACACCGTGCCGCAAATCACGCCCGCGACGATCTGCGTGCCGTGGGCGCGTCGGACGCTGACGGGTCGATATCGTTGGCGGACGCATTCCTCGTTGGTGTTGATTCGACCCGGTGGACACGGAGGTCTGCTGGCGTATCCTTGAGTCTCTTTGTTGTTGGAGGTTATCTGGAGACAGTATGTGAACATCTCTGCCGGGACGCTGCGGATATCTCGACCCTTCAAATCCCCCGGGAGGCTGCACTGCATCGCGTCCACCTGTCCGTCTGTACAGGAGAGAGAGAGAGAGTTGAGAGAGAGAGAGAGAAGATGATGGAGTGGTGTGTGTTGAGAGAGAGATGTGAGAGATGAGAGAGAGGTTTTTTTTTTCTGTTTTCCCTGGCAAAGCTAAGTGCGTTTGATGAAGGGAGGAAGAACCTGCTCTGCAGCCACTCAGGGAGGAGAACCCGAGCCACCCAAAAAAAACAGCCCTGCTACGATGGGATCCGACTCCAGAATCAGATGAGGAGCCCAGAAGATATGTACAGTGGAGAGGTACAGGTTAGACCCAAGTGCCGTCTAGGTTGATCAGTTGTCCACTGAAGTGTGTGGGTCGGAGCACACTGCTTGTCTATGGTTAAGATGGCCCAAATTGCCGTAAATACTTGGGGACTCCTGCCATCAACTGTCCCATGGCGAGAACTTTTTTCTTTAGCAGGCCATGATTGTGGGCAGGAAGAGGAGAAGCTTGTTTGTCACCAGAAAATGGAACAAACTGGTCTGCCTGGTTGACTGGTGGGAAGAAGGAGAAATAGAGCTTGACTGGACACAAAGCTACTGACTGTAAAACAGTTCATTACAACCTGTATATATAGGCCTACTTTTAAGTTCAACTAAAAATAAAACAGTTAATAAACACAAGTACATCTCATTGTCATTGATTTATTTTCATCCCACAATTATCATTAGAACAGCTTTCTCAAGCAGTTTGTGATGCATTTTGGAACTGAGATGAGCCCCTTGGTCCTAATGCACCCACCTGGCTTGAGAAAACTTACTCAAAGCTTATTTTTAGTCATTATTTGGGTAGCACACATATTCTGAATGGCCTTCGGCAGAATTCAAATGAGGACATTTTAATCTAGTATTATCTAGATTAATTCCAAAGAATACAGTGAGATTAATCTAGATTAAAATGTTTATCTAATGCCCCCACTAGTTCACTATATATTCCTTCCATGAGTGGCGTTGCTCGCAACAAAATCGCCAAGCTTCAAATACACGCCAGCATCAAATTTTTTTTTTTTTTTTCATGCCTGTGTGTGGGACGGGCCGTAACCGTTCATTCACGTGTTAATATGTCTCGTCTGACAGGGGTGTAGTTCTGACGGAGCGGGCACCAGAACGCCGCTCCGGCCGGGACTTCACAAAATGCAGTACCCATTAAGGAAGCCGGTACATATGCCGCAATTTCTTGCGGTGGCTGTGCTTTAGTTGAAAGCCCAGTGCGCGATCTGTCATCTGTCATACTGATCAAACAGGTCAATAACTTTGTTGTTATTAGCATTCTGGTTTAGCTAGCTATGCTAAAGAATATAAAGCTTTTCTCTCCAACCAGTTGGAGGTAAAGGACCATCTTTATCT